ATTGTTTGACCCATGTGCTAGAAGGATCTGATGTAGTTTGTGTGCTATACCTGTTTACATGTAGATTTTTTCATCGGTTGTACTTGAATATTGGAATGAAGGTGCTAAAGTTCAGCAAGTCATACATTTTATTTCTTCATTTCTATAAGTTGTGCCTTTTGGGTTTTGAAAGTTATGAATTATTACTTTTGATATATAGTTGGATTATTTCTGGAGCGAGGTAAATCACTTTATAGTTTGCAATTCTCCTTTATATGTGATTTCCACATGTAGTTTATTTTATTCTATTAGTTATTCCAAAGTGTATCCATATGCAGGTTCATCTGCTCAGGTTCATAACTTCACTTTTGTGCTTGTGTTGTTCCCTGTTGCAGATCATGATGTATGATGAAATGGTATCAAGGTTTGCCTTTTGAAAAAACACATGTCAAAACTTTCCATCATGCCAATCTCCAGTACTTACTTCCCATGCCAATCTCAAGTTTTGGTATGTCAACTTCAGTTTCACATGACATATTTCCCATGCCTTAATTTTGCTATTGGTTGATTACTGAGGTTTTTAGATGAAGTGATACTCCAGTACTTACTATTTTTTCAGTGATTCTAGAAGCCATATAGAGCCTTCATTGCTTGAATAACAGAAGTGTTTGATACTCCCCACTATTCTCAATGTTTTCATTGGTATGTAAAACAAAGGATAATCGACCTTATGTTTTTCTCCTTTGTTTATCACATCAGTATCGTGTAAATACTTTATGGTTTCTCCCCAGATTAACAAGGAATATCTCCAGTGGATGTGTTCAATAAGCGTAGATAGACATATACACGTTTGCCCTTTGCCTTGCCTGTTACAATTTATTTCTACTGGAATTCGCATACATGTATGCTGTGATTTCAGCTCGCATGTTGCGTGCAGATTTCTGACCAATTCTTTTTAATTTGTTCAGATAGAAATGCACATTGGTGGCTGTACAGGTACTTATGCAAGTGCATGTGAACTAACTGATAGAAAGAAGGTTTCTCCCGGTACCCAACCAATTAGCCTTCGTACATTCTCGTCAAAGGGCACAACCCACGTGTTTTCTTCGTCTGATAGACCAACTATTATCTACAGTCACAATAAGTTGTTGTACAACAATGTCGATCTGAAAGAAGTTAATCACATGTGTCCTTTTAATACAGCTGCTTTTCCTGACAGGTCTCTCTCTCTCTCTCTGGAATGACTGTTTTTTCAGTTTAGTACTTTCCATATTTAGCTCTTAATGCTTGTACGTAGTTGGTCCAATTTTCACAGGAGAATTACGTTGTATTATATCTTTGCCTATCTCCTTGATTGGATAGTTCATTGTTTTCAAGTATTTTTCTGCCAGTAGAATCAAAATATTTGAACCTATCTTGTTTACAATATGATGAAACCTGACATATTCTGTGCTGATAACAATGGTGTTAATAATTTGCTTTTTATTTTCCCATTCAGTATGTTCTTGATGCATACAAGACAATGTGATGATTATTATTCAACATTTAGATTCTTACTCTGCACAAAATTTTATGGAGTAACGCAAATGGCTGCTAGTGCTAACCTATTCTACTAGATGATATCGACCTCTCACATTGTCCTTGTGTTCCATTTCATTAATTTATTGGCAGAAATTATTTGGAAACAATAAGATTGTTTTAAATCAGCTCTTAATTAAGGTGGTTTCTTTTGTGTATATTACAGCCTTGCAATTGCTAAACAAGGTGAACTTTCAATTGGAACTATTGATGATATCCATAAGCTTCATATTCGCATGATTCCGTTGAATAAACAAGCACATCGCATTTGCCATCAGGAACAATCCAGGACATGGTGTTCTGCAATTTTAAGTACATCCATAATAGTATCGAGGAAAGTGAGTCTCATTTTATTTGTCTGATGAATCATCAAACTTTTGAGTTTCTGTCAGCTCTACACCCTACTTGTTCAAATCTACAGGTTCTAGGTTTGGATTAAATTCCATATATTCCCATACCACAAACATCTGCTTTGTCCAGTCTCGAGTGTATGCTTTAAAAGTGTCTAATTCGCACTGAAAAAAAACTAGAACCATTACATACTGAAACATCTAAGAAAATCCTAACTAATTGTACCTACAACAGTCCCTAACATCCAAACTATTCTGGCCTTAATGTGTTGATTTAAAATCTGGAACAAGAGCTTCATTAATTTGAGTTTCCGGTCTTTTGCAGGTTTCCCAAAGATACGTAGGTAGATGGAGGTTTGAAAGATCTACAAGTTGCTGGAGATTTGGAAGACCTACAATTAAGTTGGTGGTTGTTTTGGCACATAGGACATCCTATGCTCATTTTGGTTGTATGGCACACCTAGAACATATGTACTTTTTCTTTTGCGGCACAACGTCCATATATATGGTTGTTTCATGCATGTATCTAGAAACATATGTATTTGGTATATTATGTTTCTTGAATGAAGTTTAAGGTTTTGGATGAGGCCTACATGTAACTTTCATTGAAGTGTATGTATAATTTGTGATCTATCATGATTGCCTGAACATAGTAAATATTAAATTAGTTATATAATGCTAGAGCAGTTTGCTAGTGAAACTCAATGTCCTGGCATATAAAATGCCGGGTAAACATGTATCTGCCGGCAGTTACACTCCCTATAACTGTAGTACCTATGCCACAACAAGTCTACCGGGAGGAAATAACCTGCCGGCAAACACATGGGTTAGGGCAGACGAACTGCCGGGAGAACTAAACCCCGGCAGCCGTTCTCGTGGCAGTTCTATCTGCCGGGAGAACCACACTACCGGCAGTTTGTCTGCCCTTTTAAGAGCTTTCTCCCGGCAGATTACATGTCATTGCATCAATGTTGTGGTGTAGTGTTAGAAGCTTTTGTATTAATGCATAATAGACCCGGGGGCATATGTTCACTAATGGCATCTCTCTTCAAAACATATAGAGGCATGGTAGACAAATTAATGCCGGGCAATTGACAGAATAGCGCACATTATAACTATGGTCATTCATGGCATAATCTCACATAGTCATCACGTCCATGATAACTAGACAGTTAATCTAACTGCATCTACTACTATTACTCCACCCCAAGACCGTTATCCAGCATGCATCTCAAAGTATTAAGTTCATGACAAACAGAGCAACGCAATAAGAAAGATGACATAATGTAGTCAATAAGAGATCAATCAATATGACGAAAACCCATCGTTTTACCCTTGGTAGCAACAATACAATGTGTGCCTTTGCCCCTTTTGTCACTGGGCAAGATCACCGCAAGATTGAACCCACTGCTACTCACCACTCCCTTCAAAGACCTGCTCATCTATCTTGGACAAAGAAGACACATAGATCGGAAAGCATACATAGCTAATAAAATTACACAAGAGAAAGACTTCAATAGAATCAATATAAATCAATGAATAATGTGATCATAAATCTATAATTCATCAGATCCCAACAAACATGCCACAAGAATTACATCGAATAGATCTCCGAAGAGATCGTTGTACTGAAGATCAAGATCGAGAGAGAGAGAGAGAGAGAGAGAGAGAGAGAGAGAGAGAGAGAGTCATTTGGCTACTACCATGGACCCGTAGGTCCTGAAAGAA